GGTCACAAGCTGGCAGATGGTAGATTTAGGCTAGACATCAGGAGGTGCTACTTCACAGTCAGGACGACTAGGATCTGGAACTAACTTCCAAGAGAAGTTGTGCTGGCTCCTATCCTGGGGGTGTTTAAGAGGAGGCTGGATGAACACCTTGCTGGGCTCATTTGACCCCAGTACTCTTTCCTGCCATGGCAGTGGGCTGGACTCGATGATCTGCTCAGGTCCCTTCCGTCCCTACAAACTATGAATATGACTTAGTTTTAAAAAAAAGTTAGAGCAGTGCAAAAGCCTCCCTGCTCGCCTGTCTTTGTCAGTTCTGATGTCTATAATCAACTTCATATTCCCAGCAGCACAAATTGCTGCTGCTTTTTCTTCTCTGGAGAGCAGGCCTCTCTCTCTCATACACATGCACAGATCTCAGCTGCCAGGTGTGATGGCTGCTGCTTTTTCTTGTCACTTCCAATTATAGAAGCATCTCAGATAGGGAATGAGTTTGACTTTTGCCAACACTATTCAGAGTTCATCAGTATTGCTGGATTTACGGGTCTTTCAACTCAAAGATTCATCCCAGCCTACAGGCACTGCTGCTTTCCTCCGTGCACATATTGCAGACCCAGAAAGCATCTCCCTCTCCTCCCTCACCAGCCTGCTCATGAACAAACACACCAGTAACTTACCCTTCATGGTCCAAATAGACAAGGTGCAAAGCACCTTCACCACCTTTCTAAGTCTTGCCAGAGATCCCAGGACCCTACAGGAACAGATGCTTATTTTTGTTCAGAATAGTCTGCAGTAGGGAACTTTTCCCTATCACTGATTTAGCTGTACCAGTCTTTTGTAAAAAAGGCAGCTCTATTAGAAACAACCTGCCAACTACCAACACCACCCACGCAGTTTGGTATTCTGAGAAGTCTTTTCCCATTCCCTGTTTTTCTTCCTGCCTTAGTTTCTATCATTGTGATTATGTGAGAATGTTATTTTCCAAAGTAGATTTATAAGTCTAGCCTTCATGATGCAGGAAAAAACCCTGACAATCTGACGTTAAATAAATACATACATACATACATGTAGGATTCTTTTAAGCCTAAGCACATAACTGACTTGGGGGTTTTTTTTAAACTAAGATGCACATCCTAACAAAACACGCATCTCTCCTCTCCCTACAATTTAAAAGGTCATTTTCACTCTGGGATAGGGATATACAGAAGGGCTGGAGATCAGCATTTTTTCTGCAAATGTAAAATTGCCCAGAAATCAGTACTAACCTTTTCCTTATCTAACAAACTGAAACCTACTATTCCAGCAGCAAAGAACACATGGATGGATAATGAATCATGAGGCTGAACATGAAAAATGTGATTCCTCTACCAACATTATCTATTTTTGAACATAAAATAAAATGCATTACAGAAAAATAGAATTCTTAAGTAAATATTTGTTAACCAATTAACCAAATAAAATAGAAAAATTAAGTCTCCTTTGAAATTATTTCAATTTTATAAAAGATATGACATTTCTTAATTCCCATTTTCAAATTAATTGCAGATATGCAATGCTCATTGGCATCACAAGTGCACATCTAAAGGGATCATGATACTATTTGTATCTTGAGACCATAATTAAACTAGCCCTTGCATGGATGTGCAGCAGCTAAACAGGGAGGAAAAAAAGAACACCCCCTTGCATAGCTTGATAAAGGTCAAGCAGAATCATCATCTGATTGTGCTACAGTACAGAGTGGTGAAATTCAGACAAAATCATGCTCCCCCACTCTCCCAATCTCCAATGCAGGGCATGGCCCTGGTGGAAAAATAAACTGTTCCACATGACACAGTAAGAGAGTAAATGCTTTCCCCTTAAACTACCCAGAAAGACAGGCAGGTACTCCCTCTGGGTCAGAGGTGGGCAAAATATGGCCCTTGCAAGCTGGATCCAGCCCATAGCAGGTCCCTCAGACCCAGCCAGCCAGCCCAGGCCATGGCACATGTGGCTACCCGTAGGCTGCAGAGGTGCCACCTAGCATTTGAGTGTAGCCCATCTGATCCTCACACATTGCTCTCAGGCACACTGGAAGCTGTAGTTCACAGGGCCAGGCAGCACAGCAGCAGGACAGTGTGGCACGGTGGCTGGACTTGGTTTCCTGGCAACCCCTGCAGTAGTGGCTCCTTCCAGCTGCTGTTGCCAGCATATCTACTGCCACCAGACCCAGTCCCGCTGCCCAAGCACTGTGGCCCATCCACCCAACATCCACTTCCTGGGTTGCTGCAAAACCAATGCCCATCGTAGGAACATCTGGGGAGCAGATCGTGGTTCTCGCCCAGGCCCAGGCCCTGCACTGTCACCACTGGGCAATCCCAGCCCCAGCCACCCATCCCTCACTGCCCACTCCTTCCCATCTGCCCAGCTGACATGCCCTGCCCACAGGTGTCCATGGAGACCTTGCTCAACTGCCCTGTCCGGTGCCCCCAGCGGTGGGTACGGGGCAGACAGGAGCAATTAGCATCTTCCTGCCCCTCTTCCCCTTCTCCTCCATCTGCTGCATTGGGCAATGTAAACAGCCACGTCAGGGGGCCAAAGCCAAGTCAGTAACCCCAGCATGTGTAATGGGGAATAACTTAATAGGAACATCGGGAATAAACTAGAACTTGGTCTATAGGTGAGAGATTAGAAGGCCGAGACATTCGATGTGTTAAGGGACAATATAAACTAAGCAATTCTAGGAGGTATGGAATAAAGATCTGCTCTTGCAGGCTGAAGTATATGAACTAAGTTAATTAAAAACTGTGGTACATTATTGAGGTTTATATGCCGTATCTTGAAAGGCAAATTTTTACAATAGCAACAACATTCAATACATAGGAGAAAAGCCAATTTTAAAGTGAGACTACGCAGCAAAGCACTTTAAAGCCTTGAGGTTGTGGGTCACAAAGTACACATTCAGTACAGATGTGCTCTTTTTGAATGCTACTGCAAAGTTTTACAGGTTAATAAGACAGACAGAGCCAAATGACATTACCTAGAATAACACCTGAACAGAAAACACACACTCTTGTCACGGTATATTTTAAGCATGGAGAAGAAGTCCTTGATGGACAAAGGAACAAATTTTAATACCCGAGACACAGCTGATAATATAGCTGTGTCCATTCCAGTTCTAGCTCCATTCTAGCTCCAGCGAGGTTCCATCTCCATTCAGAGTTAGAGAAAAGTGAGGGCCCTTTTAATCAGTGGGGAAACTCTTAATATTCTTATACAATGAACAGTTAGCCACAGTCAGATAACTTGAAACTAGTTCTCTCTAGGAAAGGTAATGTATACATTCATGACACATTCTTACTTGCCTTCCAGCATTCTCTGCTGAGAATGGTTTGGTTTCATTTTCATATGAACAGAAAATTGCTCTGTAACAGCAAACTTGAGATAACATTTACTAAAAAGCCTTAAGATCATGTCAGAAGTCAAGCACTCTGCAGTAAAAACAAGTGCTTATTAAAAGCCCTATATGCTCTTATTGGTATTTTCCCCACTTCAGAGCTTAAATTATAAATTTAAGGTATATTATTAATCCTAAAGATACTAGCAACCATAAATTTCAAAGCAGCCAAAATGCAACAGTTGAGCTACAAACGGTCAAGGTTACCCCCCAACCTGACTCTGCCTCTTCCCTTTTAAATGATAAGTCATAAGACACAGACTTGAACATTGAACATCACCAAGCAGTAGTCTGCAGTACTTGTTTACTGGAGTAAGACAGTATTTTGCTTATACTTTAAATAGCTCTACTATCAAGAGCTTTACATCTTGCAGTCAGCCTATACCAATTTTACAGCAGAGATGATGGTTGGTTAAAAGCAGAAGATGCAGTTTACCTTCAGTGTGGCAGTGCAGTGACATTATGGTTGTATACCAATAAAAGATTTCTAGCAAGAAGTCTGTTGTCTACATTACTGTCTCAAGGCAAGAGTACACAGTTGCTATAGGGAAGTGGAAATAACACAGAACAGGCACAGACAATGGCAGGGAAAAGATTAGCCAGCCAAACTGATAACTATGCACTAACCAGTGTCATGAGGTAAGCCATATACCTAGATGCAGGTGCCAAACAAAACTACAAGTGGCTTGAAACTGGACAAGCTGTGTCTATGAACTGATTAATAATTTCTGACAGAAAAATATGGTAGTTGGGTCCACCCAGAATGGAATGGATAGTTGGCATTATTGCTTCATTCAATAATATTCTGTACAGGCATTACCATTTTATGTTTTAAAAAGAAGGCCAGAAGCATTTCCTCAGCACCTTCTTGTGCTCTTAGAATCCAACAGCAAATTTTTTCATCTTAAAAATGGGAGAGGGTGTTTGTACTGCGAAGCTGGATAATTTGGAGAGAATTTCTATGTGCCTGAAAATTCTGTGTGACCCTACCAAAACTATGTTACATAAATAACAATACAGAACTGAATAAGCTTTCACAGTAAGTTAATATATCATTGATTCAACTAACATCCAAAGCCGTGAAATGAAAAAAACAATTCTCACAAGGAAGTAGCAATTTCTTTTTAACTAAATCTTTCCCCCAGAATTGGATTAATTTGAATAGGTCATTTATTACTCCTAACATATTGCCAGGTTTCTTGCAGATTTCAACTGCCTCCTAATCTAACACGAGTAAAGTAGATTATGAACCAAAATATAATTAATGTGCTTGCCCAAATAAATGCAGGAGTCATTTAAATAAAACAACACATTGTTACATGTCAACAAAATCCAAGACAAATGATACATTTTAAGATTCAAATGAAAACACCAGAGAGATTAAACAAGTTCTGGCAACTATTTTTACGTAGATTCTATAGATTTTTTATCTTCAGATGCAGGAACTTCCATATTAAAAAGAGCATGGTATTTTAGAAGATAAGTGACATCCTTCAGTTCCAAACTGTATTCCTCTGCTATTTTTTCTGCAGTCCATGTTTCAGGATGCAGTCTATGATTATTAAGAAAAGTCAGAAGCTCCACAGTACAAATTTTGCCTTTGTGAACACGGTGAATATCTAGAGAACTGTAACGACCTAGTTTTGTAAGTCTGTATTCATCCTCTTTACATGGGAGACTTTCACCTTCAACTTTTACCTGGATCAGTAAGAAAAGAAAGAGTTCAAATCAGTAGGATGCATTTATTTTGTAAATTGTACAAGCCCTATCTATTTCTCTAACAATAATTTTGCCTTTTAAAGGGGAGGGAGGGACAGGAAAGGGACACCCCTCTCCTGTTTACTAGTCCTAAGAAATGAATGCTCATGGACTGTTCCCCACTCTCCTAAAAACGCTTTATTTTCTGAGTACAAAGGTTCACAGCAACAATAATATACAATGAAATCATCAACAAAGCTAACGGCACTTTATCATGCATCAGCAGATACATGACAAATAGAACTAAGGGGGCGATACATTTTCCCCTTTATGAGGCATCGGTCAGAATGCAGCTGGAGTACTGCATCCAGTTTTGGGTGCCGTACTTTAAGGATGTGGATAGCCTGGAGAGGGTCCAGAGCAGGGCCACTAGTATGGTTAAGGGTTTACAGGCCAAGCCCTATAAGAACAGACTAAGAGACCTGGATTTCTTCAGCCTCCGCAAGAGAAGACTGAGAGGTGATCTTGTGGCCGCCTACAAATTTATTAGGTGGGGTGCAGCAAGGTATCAGAGATGCTCTGTTCACCAGGGTGCCTCTTGGAGTAACAAGGAACAATGGTCACAAACTGACAGAGAGCAGATTTAGGCTACACATCAGGAAAAACTTCTTCATGGTATGGGTCAAAGTTTGGAATGGGCTTCCAAGGGAGATGGTGCTCTCCCCCACTTCGGGGGTTTTTAAGAGAAGGCTGGATAGGCATTTGGCTGGAGTCATCTGACCTCAGCACTCTTTCCTGCCCAGGCAGAGGTTCAGACTCGAAGATCTGTTAAGGTCCCTTCCAACCCTGGCATTTATGAACAACCAAATATCCAGCACCCAGTGACCCATTTTCTGAAAAGCCAAAACTCCTGCAAACTTCAGTGAAAGTTCTCAGCCCTCAACATCTTTGGAGAGGAAGAAAAAAAGCTACAGATTTCTATATTTCAACCTGACTGTAGATGCTTAATGTCAAATAATGACATGTGAAAATGCTGTCCTACATATTTAACTTGACACCATTTGCCTATGTTTGCATCAGAGCAGGCACTTTCTACTCTTCATCTTCTAGTAGAACTTAAAAAGAATATAAATGGGAGAAGAAAGGATGACTTTTTCTGGAAACAGTTTCTCGGGTTGTAAAAAACAACCCACACCCACCCACCCAAACCAGCTTCTATACATTTTACGACTTCCCTTTTCCTCTGGTTCAGTTTGGTTTGTTTGTTTGTTTGTTTTTTCATTTGAAGCTTTGGTGCAGTTTTGCACCCTCTGGTTTTGTTCTGTGAATTTCTCAAAACGTTTTTAGCATCTCTTCATACTCCCCTTTCCAAGTTTGGTTCAAAATCAGCTATCAAGCTCCCTGCTCCACACTGGGGGCTGGGAGGGAAGGGGAGGAAAGTAGCCTTTATGTCCCAAGGCCAAGAGAATTTCTTGCAAGCCCACAGCTACTGGTTAACTCAAGTCATCAAGCATCAGCTTTTATCTGAGCTACATTTTAAAGCATGTTGAGGCTTCAGCCACTCACTGAAGGGTGAATCATTTACAGAGAATACTTAACCTCACAGAGCAAAGCCCTCTTTGTTTTAGTCCATTCTAAAAGTAACAGGGTAGATGAAGACACCTGTGTGGAAGATGAGGCAAACCAGGGCATCAATACAGACTGAAAGTACCCTTAACAAATTGCACTGGACCCCAAATTTGGGATTATATTAAGTAGAATAAGATATATAAACATAAGACCTTGCTGGGCAAAAACTTTGCCATTGTTAATGTGGGGACTGCATCTGAAACACAAATCAACCATCAATACCTGCTATTTTTTTAAAACAGGTAGCTTCTGGGTGCTAAGGCAACAAGCTGCACCAAATACACCCCCCGCCCCCTCAGTTCTGGATATCCTTATAGTTTGGCCATGTGAAGAGTGGATACTGCGGTGCGCCCACTGCGGAAAGAGACTCACTTTCCTGGGTGGATCCTTGGAATCGACATAGACATGTTTTAAAAAGGCAAGAAGCCTGTTGTCTTTTTTGTGGATTTCATGTTGGATTTCTAGATAGTGAAAAGAAAGAGAGAGAGAAAACACATACAATATACTCTCCTTGGCTTGCATTTAATAATAACCAATCCCCACCCATCACCAGTTTGAATATATAGGAAGGTGAGGTGCCCCTGCATATTTCTCAGGAGGGAAAAAAAAAATGCTGGTTGCTGCAAGCACTGCAACATTCCCAAGCTCCAGTTCATGCAAAGGGTCGCACTAAAGCACAGGAACATGTTTCCCAGAGAGGTGGTAGAGCCTCCATCCCTGGAGGTTTTTAAGACCTGGCTAGACAAAGCCCTATCTGGGACAATCTAGTTGGGGCAGGTCCTGCCTTGAGCACGCGGTTGGACTAGATCAGAGTTTCTCAACCTGTGAGTCATTTTGACCCAAGAGCCGGTCACAAGAATATATGAAAGGGTCAGAAACCACCTTGAAAAATGGATTGTCCCATAAAGGAAAAAAAGGTGGGAACCTGCAGCTTTTCTGTTGCAGCCTGGCACAGCCCCAGCCTGCAAGGGGCAGCTTGGGGGCCCTCCTGTGCCACACACTGGGGGGCAGCAGGTAGGGAGCAAGGGCCATTGGCCATCCGTGTTTACAAACGGGCCCTGGTCCCAAAAAAATGGAGATCCCTGCACACGATGACCTCTGTCCGACCCGCGCCTTCTGTAAGTGTGGGTCTGTGACCAAAGGGTCCAACACAAACCAGTCCCGGGCCCCGGGGCGCCCTACCACACCTCCCGTTTTTCGCCAGAACCGGGGGCCGGGCTGCACGGGCCCGGGAACAGCAGCTCCCGGCTTGCTCCGCGCGCGGCTCCCACGTCACTGCCGCCGTGCCGCGGGGGCACTTACCAGGCGACTCGGCGGGCCGGGCCGTGGGGTACCACGGCGCGCGGGTGGCCTTGGGCTCGTCGATGACGCGGAACGCGCGGTTCTCCACGTTGAAGTTGCGGAAAGCGCGGACCAAGCGCTCCCATATGATCCGCATGGCCGCGCTCCCCTCCTGGTGCCGCCGCGCATGCGCAGGGGGGTGGCGGAGGGCGCCGCTTAGCGGCTGGAGGAGCGCAGCGCTGGGCGGGGCGGGTGCAGACAAGGGCGAGGGAGGGGCGGAGAGCGGGGCGGTTGCTGCTGGGCCCCCGGGTCACCGAGAAGCAGGGCCGGGCTCGCCATGGGTCGCGGGGCCGAGCCCCGTCTGTGGTTTAGCTATGAGGTCTGCCCCACCTACGCCTGGGGCTGCCACCCGCCCCGGCACACCAGAGACCTGACAGCGGCCTGCCTGGCCAAAGCAGGGGAACATCTACACTTACGTTGCTGCAACTTCAAGCCACTGGTCCGCGTCCTTCTCTGCAGCGAGAGTGAAAAGGTGCTTTCCCTCCTCTTTACGGTAGCCCTTCAAGTATTCATGTCCCCTCTTAAACATCTGTTCCGCAACGGCATGTTCAAATTAAGAAATGGCTAGAAACCAGCTCTCCAGTTAGTGCACATTGTCAGGCACGAACGTTGTACCTGGTTGGCTCTTTTTAGAGCTCGCTGGACATTTTTACAGTGTGATCGTTACTTCGTACATATGGCCAGTCTCGATTGATTGCGCGATTGGCCAGTCAGTTTTGCAGTATATGTAATGGGTCGCATGGTAAGTAGCATTATTTTACTCAGTTGCAGGAGAAACAAGGCAGCTGAAGGCAAGTATGATCCAGCTTCAGGCAGGGGGTTGGATTAGATGACCTAGTCACTTCCAGCCCTGCTTTTCTATGAAAAGGGAAGAAGAACCGGAGTACTTCCCAAACCTCCCAAACTTTCTTTATCACAGTATCACAGCTGGCCTTTTTTTCACCTCTCCCCTCTGACCTACCATTTTGGGTACTATTATATGGCCCAACAGACAGAACTGCTACTTTTAGATCTCCTGAGAGTACTCTGGAAGCACAGAGTTCTACAGAGTTGCAATTAATTTTGGTAAATAAATAAAAGGAAAATGTTCTACCCCAACAGCAACGACAGAGCGACCCATTATTGTTGCTAAAGAAATAATGCATTTGATGGGTGTGTGTTTGTGTAGCCAGATCTCTGTTGTTGCTCCTAGGCAAAAACATCTTTCTTTATGTCTGCAAACATACACATAAATTATCGCTTTTAGGTCAATGTAACTTTTTATGTGGATGCGTTAGGGCTCAAACCTTATCTTTTTAAAGATTCACTGACCACTAAAACTCACAATGAAGAAACCCTAGGCATTCAGCATCCCCCTCCCTTCTGAGTGGGGACCCGGTGGGTGCTGGAAGTCTCAGTGCAAGGAGAGTGGGTGCTGCTCTGGAGGGAAAACCACAGAAGAATCAGGCCATACCTATGACCATCTTTGTTGGGGTAAAGATAGAAATGTCCTCAAGGTGGCAGGCTAATCTAGGGTTTTCATTTTGTAGACTTTCAGTCATCAGTGTATGAATCCCGTATTTTTTCAGCATTTTAAAACTAGCCACGGTATGGTATAACAATTGCTGTTTTCCAGCTGAATTGTAAGTATTTTTTTTAAACTTAATGGTGTCCATCACCCTGCACAGATCATAAAAATATAGGTAAAAAAGACTCATTAACATAAACATCTAAATAATCCAGATCAGTGAAAATGTCAATGCAATAGATGCATCTATTTCAACTTGAAACCAGAATCTAGCCAAATTCTGGTTAATATTTCAATTGAATCTTTTTATAGTGAGTGGTCCTGATAGTATATAGAAGAGGGCCATTCAGCAGGGCCACAGTAATGTATAGGCAGACTAGGCACATGCTTAGGGCCCTAAGTGAAGAAGAGGCCTAGTAGTGCTTATTTTACATATTATAATTATTGAGTGAAAAAAGTAGAGGCCCACAAGGTTGTTTGCCTAGGACCCATTAAAGGGTTAATCCAGCCCTGCCATTTAGTGTATAATTCATTAAGTTTACCTTTTATTTTTATTGCATTTTAGATTGCTCCTAAATTTATGACATTGTATATGATGCAAAATAGTGGAGCCAGTCTAAAGTTGTGACATTTATTACTGTGTTGTTCCAGTTACAAGCAAGGCTTTTTTTTCCTTCCAAAAGAACAATAAAAATCCTCCTCTACCTTTATGTGAGATTGATGTATAATTGGAACAATATGTCCGTGTGAGACTGGCCAAGCCATGTGACTCTTACGAGTGCTGTGCAAGGTCATCTATTCATTAATGGTGGCAGGTTCAACTTATATTGAAAAGGAGCTATGGTGGCTGTGTAACCCATTGTCAGCATGATGTAGTTCCTAGGATCTACCAGAAGCAGGAGGCAGGCAGTAATCTTCTCTCAAGAAGCTAGTAGCTGAGAAGTCCAAAGAGCCCTTGACCAGGGAACACGGAGCTAGGCAGCCTTGGGTCCCCAGCTGGAGCCACAAAGCCAGAAAACAGCCCACAAAGGCCAGGCACAGAATTTACACTTATTATGTGGTAGGAGCACAGAAAGCACTGTACAGCCATAACCAAACAGATAGTCAGGTCACACAGAGCCTGTAAAAATGGTGGATCCCTATTTAAAATAACTCTGGATGGATGTAGATGCGAATTCCATGTGCCCGTCAGGGCATTTATAAAGATTGCTGTTTTTGATTAAGTGCTGTGCTGATTGTGGACACCACATTCACATAGGGGGCTCTCCAAGATGTTCATCTAATATAGTGCTGTTAAGAAGCATCCGTATCCAGATCTCAGTCTCTTCAGCTTGACCCGTGCATCTCTGTCAAAGTTGTGCCCAATGGGGGACTCATTTGGTGTTGGTATAAAATTCTGTAGGAATAGACTTCAGACTGGATTACTCTGAAAGATCATTTAATTTCCATTCACCCCACCCCTTATCTAAATTTAGTGCAATACACAAGGCTACAATACCTGGCCTGCTGGACTCTCTGTGGGCCCAAAAACCTTGCAGCAGAGGAGTGGTTAGGATCTGTCTTCTTATGTCACTTGGTCTCATGCCCTGGAGTACAGGGAATACGTGTGTGTGTACGTTGTGCAGCCTGTTTTAAGTCCCAGTGCACTGTTAAGTACAGTGCTGAGCTTTTTAGTGCAACAGCTGCTGGACCATACAGGAGCACAGTAATCTGCTGGGGTTTATACCATTGCAAGTGTGGTGGTTCTGAGCACTTTGAAGTTGTTGTGCTATGTTGTGCTAGTTAAATGTCTGAAGGCAGCTACCCGTGCAGAAACTTTACTCCAGACCTTCTGAATGAGATGTTTATAGGTGATGGAACAGTCTAATGTGATTTCTTGGTAAGTTGCTCTTGACTATGAATGTGTGAAAAACTGATTGTCTTTGTGGAAGACAGATGATACTGATTTATTGATGCTACCCCACTGACCTCTGGCCTCTTGAACACCCTGCCCCCACAACTCCATGACACGGGCCAGGACCCCGTACTGTTGTTGGGAGTTTATCTGTCTGCATTATGCTGAATGACCATAAATCTGGTTAATTGTCAACTGGCCACCCCATCCCTCAAGTTCACGTTGCTTTCCTGAGAGAGGCCGGTGTGTTGATGCGGAACAACTTTGCGCAAAACGGCACCCAAAAAGACTCCGAAAGACACTGAAAACTTTCTTTTGAGCCTCACAGCTGAGGTGTAACTAACAGTTGCAACTGTAGGTTTTTGTTTGTGTGTGTCCAGGCACTGTTCAGCAGAACACCTACTTATGAACACTGTGACAGGTAAGATGCAGCAGGAAATTGGAATTCTCCAATCAGATCTCCCCCCCCCCGCCTTCATTTTCATCCCAGAAAACTGGAAAAGGCTCATTCCTCTGGGCCCAAACACTTCAGTTCCCAGTTCCCACAGCAGGGAAATGAAACCCAGGCATCCAGGTTTTCCCAGCTGGGAGGTGTAATGCAGGTGTTCCACCACGTGGTCAATGCTGGGTTGTGAGCATCTGTGCGGCTTCCAGCCCCAGGCAGGAGAAGGGGTCTAGACAAGGGGACTCACCAGATGGTGTCTCAGTGTCTTCTTTGTCTGGAGACTCTGGGTATGGAAAGCCCTGTCGTGGAGCCCAAGATGCTGGATCCAGGATAGTCAGCAGAGGCATGTGCGTAGAAGGTGCCAGCAAAATAAGGACCAAAGGAGACGCTCAATGTGGGCAGTTGTATTGGACAGGTTGGTGATTGCTTGCACCTAAACTGCCATGGCACTTGAATGAGCCATCCATCTCAGGAATGTGCTGCAGAGGTCCAAGGATGGCGGTCTCCAGGTGGCCACCCACTGTCTAAGGGAGGTCACTCTTGCTGCTTTGGAGCTGAGAGAGTTGTAGCACCAGGATAAGGAGTTTATGCATAGGGTCAAAGACCTTAGGATCCAGTCATGATACCTTTGAGTGGTGTCAGCACTGCCTCCCACAGGGAGACTTGCCCTCCTAGGCAGGAGTGGTGGAGCAAGCTGCTACCCACCCCTCTCACCCTAGCATGGAGAGCTCTGCTCTGGCGACTCCTCTTTGGGGCAACATGCCAAAGAGGCCTATGGAAGGGGTCCCTGGGTGGCAGCTGTGGGGGAACGCTTTACACTGTGCATTGATTAGGTGATGCTTGGGGGCAGGAGAGCCCTAGAACAGGAAATCTGGTGCATGAGAGCCCCTGACCTGTGGTCCAAGAAGCCAGGAACACTCCTTGAACCACAAGTCAGAGGCTCCCACGTGCCAGATCTGCTCCAGGGTCCCCTGATCCCTCTGCCCAGGTCCCACCGTGGGGGAGTGGCACAGCCTCTGCAGGGATAGACAGCCCCCTGGGCTCATGTCCACAATTGTTATTTATAATGCACACATGAAGTTTGGCAGCTATGCAATTTAATTAAACCAAGAGAGGCAGTTTTACGTGAGGCATTGTCCCTACCACCCCAAGTTCTCATGTTTGTTAAGTTGAGTCCCCATGGCTGCCCACTCCCTTCCCCCACTCAACGTCATAACTGCCCAGTGCAGCCATTGTCTTTCCCCAGTCTCTTAATGCTAACTAAGAAGATGGTTCCAAGTTCTG